TTCTGCGTCGTCTCCGTGTCCTCTTCCTCCTTTATGTTTCTTCGCAAGTGTCATCGTCATTGTTTGATGTCCTTGATGCCGCTGTCTCGTCATCCACCCGGACAGTGGCCGATTCCTATAAATTTGAATTAGTATGGCTCATGTCGCTCTGCCTTGAATTGCATTTTAGAATTTGGAGGTACGGTGTGTTGCCGTCAGCCGTGACCTATGGCACCGTCGTGAAGGCAATCATTGACGCTTGCATCCGCACCGCATCCCTTTGAGGCGGAGGAGAAAACGACTGTTGCGAGCACCGACCATGAGATTGTAGGTAGAGTCCTTCGTCCTGTGCCGCCAATCTTGGACGCTTGTGACCTTTCCCGACAGGAGGGAGGAGGGGAGGAGGAGGACGGGGAAAAGGAGGAGGAGGTGGAGGAGAAGAAGGAGAAGAAGGGGAAGGAGGGTGTCGGCAACTGCCTTCGGCAGTACGATGTGTTGAATGGAATGATTGCGTCGTTTCCGTATGTGGAGCTTGATGGCGGGTTGGTTCGTTGGTGGGTCGTTGGGCTTGGGAGCCCTGGCCCAGGCCCCAGGCCGGCTTGGCTTGGGAGGCAATATGGCTGCCCTGGGCGACGCCGCGGAACACTTTCGGCGGACCGAGCCAATTCCTCAGTGGCCCAACAAGAAATTGCAATTCCTCAGAATCATGTTGTGGCAATGTGTGTGTCCAATCGCCACTAGTTGCGACTGTTGGGCACAAATTGCGAAATGAGAGGTATGGCATCACCTGAAGGACGAATTTTCAGGTGGCTAAACACACATGCTTTATCTAGGCCTCCTAAATGAGGTCGGAGCAGATGGGGTCGAGGGATGGCGCCGCATCGCCGATGCATCGACGATGCGGCTCGACGCGGAATCCGAGTCTCCCCACGCCGACGTCGCGGATGCGTCGCCGACGTCGCCGGTGCATCGCCGATGCATCGCCGATGCATCGGCGATGCATCGGCGATGCATTTGCGATGCGGCGCGATCGATCCTTCGACCCCATCAACTCCGACCCCATCTAGGAAGCCTCTATCCCAGGAGGTCCTCACGGATCTCTTGGATCGGCGCAGGACCCCCGAAGTGCCAGCCCCCAGAAAGCGCACAGACCTCCGCACGTCTTTTCTCATGCTTCGGCCCGTTCCCCAAAGCACGGCAAGGCCACCCGCAGGGGTAGCGATGGTGATCGCGCTTCGCGGTCTGGGGCCCGAGCGCTGGCCTGGTCCAGGGCGGGGGCGCGAGAGCGCGATCACGGGACCGCTTTACGGGGCCCAGACATACACACCACCACCACCTCCCTCACCCCCTCCCTCCCCCAGGAAGGAGGAAAGGAACAGGAGGATCGAAAGGGAGGAGGACTAGACGTGGTGGTGGTGCATATTTTTGGGGCCCGCACGCTTCGTTCGTCGCGCAGCGCGAAGGTTGGTGGCTTCTGTCTACCCAGCCAGCGTTTGCGCTGACGTGGTCCTTGCGGAGGTTGAAAGGATTCACGGAGGCCCGCTGACGATTTTGGGCGAGGCGGCCGGGCGTCCAGGTGCTCAGTTTTTGGGGGTCGTGGATCCGAGTCATCGGTTTCCCACGGATGTGATGCGCAAGAGCAGAGGCGAGAATAGACGCTAAAAGGTACAGAGTAGAGCGTGGTTGGCATGGAGAAGTTGCAAAGTCAAAGTTCGAGCGGGAGTAGAGACCAGCGAGTAGAGCGTGAATCTGATCGGGTAGATAGCAGGGGGCATTGAGACCGAGGGCGGAGAGCGTGGAGAGCAGAGAGCACAGAGAGCCGCATTCGCACAGTTAATGCCATGGTTGATCGAGTTCACCACATACGCTGCCTTTACAAGCTTCGCGCGAGCATCTGAGTGGGATTTTATCCAGTGTTCTTGAAGCGTGATTTGGCCCCTTCGAGAGGGGGTCCCTAGTCCTCACGGATGGAGCTAGTGCCAGCATAGCTACTTGGAGGGGAATTTCGGAATTGCTTGCGGCGGGAAGAAGAAACCGTTTCTCTTGTTCTGTGTAGGTTTTCCCCCTCACCCCCTCCCTCCACATCCCCTCCCCTTTCTCCCCTCCTCCCACCTTCTCCCTCCTCCTGTTCTTCCCCACAGCGGTCGGTGGAAGGCGTACGGGCGCGCCCGCGACATCGAAATGGTCCTGAAGGTGCGAGCGCGCTGCGGCAGTTTGCTGCTTGGAGCTCCGCCTCATTTGGAATTTGCGCGCAGCTCCCCGGCGTAAAGCAGACTAGGACGAGTGCATGTGTGTATGTGTGATGTGGGTGGCATCTTCGTTGAGCGTTGCGGGTTCTCGCATGTGTGCGTGTATGTGTGTGTGTATGTGTGTGTGTGTGTGTTTGCGCGTGCGCGTGTGTGCACATGTGCGTGTTCGTTGTGTGTAATGTGTGTTGTGTGGATTGTGTTTGATGCGTAAGACATGCAATATGGTTTAACAGACGATTGAGTGGTATGTGATGTACGTGGGTGTTCTGTGTGTGTGATGTGTTTGGTCGGGCGTTTGTGTTTGATTTGCTCTTGCATATGAATGACGCGCATGTGTGCGTGCGTTTGCGTTGGTTTCGCGCGTGTGTGTTTGTGTGTGTTTGTGTGTTGCGTGTGTGTGTGCGTGTGTGTATGTGTGTATGTGTGTATGTGTGTATGTGTGTATGTGTACGGGTGTGCGTGTGCGTGAGCGTGTGAACGTGTGAACGTGTGAACGTGTAAACGTGTAAACGTATGAACGTGTGCGTGCGTGTGTGTGGGTGTGTGTGTGTGTGGGTGTGTGTGGGTGTGTGTGTGGGTGTGTGGGTGTGTGCGGGTGTGTGTGTGGGTGTTTGTGTGTGTGGATGTGTGTCGGTGTGCGTGGGTGTGTGTGTGGGTGTGTGTCTGTGTGGGTGTGTGTGTGGGTGTGTGTGTGGGTGTGTGTGTGGGTGTGTGTGTGTGGATGTGTGTGGATGTGTGTGGATGTGGGTGGATGTGTGCGGATGTTTGTGGATGCGTGTGGATGTGCGGATGTGTGTGGATGTGTGTGGATGTGGGTGGATGTGGGTGGATGTGTGTGGATGTGTGTGGATGTGTGTGGATCTGTGTGGATCTGTGTGTGTGTGGGTGTGGGTGTGGGTGTGTGTGTGGTTGGGGTTGGGGTTGGGGTTGGGGTTGGGGTTGGGGCTGTGGTTGTGCTTGTGGTTGTGGTTGTGTGTGTGTGGTTAGTGTGCCTTCGCCAGCCCGCTTGTTTGGTGCAGCCACCACTCGCCTAGTGGAATTGTTTTACGCTTCGCGTATCGCCACCAGAGGATCGGATCGTGCTTGCAGAGCACTCTCAGTACGCGGCATGGCACCTACACCGTGGTGGACTGGCGCCGCGGCGTTCAGTTCGTAATTCTATGGCACTTTGCCACAGGTCTGCTCAATACATGAGCTTCCCTGGGCGTTGCAGTTCAGCCAGTCAGCCCCTTGCCGCTGCTGCTCTCCAGCTGCCGCTTCTGAGTGCTGGCCCGGCCGGCTCGCGTTGCGCCTAGTAGCTAATTAGGCTGGCCCGTGCCATCTGCCCTCTGCTGCGCGGTCGCAACCAAAAAAGTATCGCCACCAGCCCGACTGCCAGCCCCACGGCCAGCCCCACGGCCAACCCGACTGCCGGCACCACGGCCAGCCCGACGGCCAGCCCGACCGCCAGCCCCGCGGCCAGCCCGACTGCCAGCCCCACGGCCAGTCCGACGGCCAGCCCAACGGCCAGCCCCACGGCCAGCCTGGCTTGCGCGGCTGTCCAATAAAGCTGCCCGGCGGCATGACCACGACGCAAACCCAGCGCACCGACGGGTGGGCTGGCGCCCCGCCTACGCAAGGCGTTTCCCCTGAGATTGACTTTTCTCCTCACTTCCTGCCCATGATTCCTCGAGATGTGACGGCTAGTCGCCTACACCGGGAAAATTGCGAAATGGGTCGCCTCCACAGGGAAAAGCGCGAAGATAGTCGCGAATCGCAGGAAGAGGAGCAGGAAGAAGTCAGGGAGGACCTTGCCGACCGTCCAACACCGAGGGCAAACGAGAGGCCCACTCCGAATAGAATGAGGCCCGTGCCATCCAATGGCTTCTGGGAGCCTCCTTTGGCCGGAAGAGATTCTCTTCCGGCCCAAGGAGGCTCCCAGGGATCCTGGAGCTCTGAGCGTTGGGCCCCTGAAGGAGAGCAGCTAAGGCAATGTTTTCGATGCAGAAAAGCCGGTGGGCCCCGAGGACATTCCACTCTGTGGGGCGTGGAAGGTTATGGTTTCTAGGCAAACTTGTTGAGCTGCCTGGGAGTTTGAACAGCATTTGCGCACAGTCGAAAAATTGCCCTGATCTGGCATCCCCTGAAATCTGCCTTAGCGTTGGGCCTCGTAGCTCGGCTTTATTGCGAAGGCCTTGCGGCCGTTGCCGCCGACCCCGGAGGGAGACGATTGCGACGACGACGACGACGCTGACGTGGGCCAGAGTCCTCAGAGATTCTTCCCGAGGCCTCTTCGGAAGGCTCTCGGGGGCCTCTGGGGAGGAATTCTGGTGCCTTTTGGGAGCCTCTTGGGTGCCTCTTGGGGGCTTCCCGGTGGCCTCTTGTGGGCCTCTTGGGAGCCTTTTGGGGCTTCGTGGGAGCCTCGCAGCTCGGCTCTGTTTGATCCCGCCAGTGTGGCCCAATTTGGCCTCATAACTCCGCCGTCAGGCCGACAAGCCTCGAATCCCTCCGAAGTCGACCTCCCAGACGCTGCCTCCCAACGCTTGCCTAAAGTCGGGCCTGTCCATCTGCAGGAGGAATATTCAAATATAGTCAAAATTGTCAGAGGAGGAGAGGAACTTTTGACCATGTTTGAGTATTTTACGGTATTGTTTGACTATGTTTTTTCGTCCACAATCCCCCTGTAGGGGACACGCTACGCTAAGCCATACGCCTAAGCGCGTGGGCGAGACAGGAAAATCAAAAGTCCACCAAGGCACCCGGCATCACGTGCAATGCGTGTACAACTTTGCTCCAGCTAGCCGCCGGCATCAGATTTGCTCGCGATGCTCTCCGCAATGGTTCGCCATTCGGCGGGGTCCTGCAAGGGGACAGGCCCGACTTAATCCCGGACGCTGCCTCCCAAACGCCCGCCTTCGGCCCGCAGCCGCACCTTGCCCCCCCCTGTGGCGCGCGGCGGCCCCCGGCCGCCGCGCACCTGGCCCGCGCGGCCAGCGATGGGCCCGCCCGCGAGGCGGGAGAGGACGGCTGCGGAGTGGGCCATGGGCGCGCCCCCCCTCTTCCCCCCCCCCTTCGGAAGGAGGCGGGGGGGAGGCGGAAGGAGGAGGACGAGGAGGAGGAGGAGGCGGAGGAGGAGGAGGCGGAGGAGGAGGAGGAGGAGGAGGAGGAGGAGGAGGGAGGAGGAGGAGGAGGAGGAGGCGGAGGAGGCGGAGAAGGTGGTGGTGGTGCACGTTGGCTTAAGCGTTACAGCTGTGCTCATACTACCTCGGAAACAAACACAAACTCAAAACCTGAATTCAATCTGTCCTCTCCACGGCGCGATTCGCTGTAATCGCCGTTCACGGGCAATGGCACGGTTGGTCGCAATCCGTGCAAGTTGCTCCTCGGAGAGGGGGGGAGGAGGAGGAGGAGGAGAGACCACAAACAGTGGGGGCCGGGCCTCCTCGGCGCCCTGGGCGGCGCTGGCCTGAAAGGGCCTGACCTGCTCCACGGGCGCAGCGGGCGTCGGCTCTCCCTCAGACAGGGGCGACAGCAGCGGTGGCGGCAACAGCGGCGACGGCGGAGAAGGGGAGGAGGGGGGAGGCGGGCCACACGAGAAAACACGCCACCTCTCAGGCTCATCAGAACGAGATGTAGCTGAGACACCTGCAAAGTCTGGGGCGATCTCGTGGGGTCGGCTCGGGTCCCATGGAACGTGTAACTGCTGCAGCTGGTGTCGGATCTCCTCAGACTCATCCACGTCGTCACACTCCAAAGATTCGTCCAAGAAACGTGTACAAGCGTCAACTATGCTCCTTGCCAGCGCCCGACACATGTTGTTAGGATACATCTTTTTCTGTGCAGTATGGAATCTCCCCTCGTTGTTTTTCCCCTGCAATCTCATGTGGGAATTCTGTGGATGTGAACACCTCCCTTGCAACTCAGCGTAGATGATTGGCATGCGCACTGCAAGCACCCTTGTTGGCGCTCTCCCGAACGTACTGGGGTCGCCCTCCTGAAAACAGCACTGGTCGAAATCTACTGTGGTGGCGCACGGTGCCGAGGCAATAGCACGTGCAGGCGGCCACATGAAAGATGTGGGTGCTCCATTCCTCCAGACTGCAGGCGCTGGGTGCTCCAACCATGCGGCCGTGCCCGCACGGAGATGTGCACCCATGAGGTGTAGCATAGCATGTAGTAGCTGGCTTCCAACACTGAGCTGTTGGTGCTGACGTAATGAAACCCAAGGAACACCCCACATATGTTCAGTCGTACGTAGTGGGGGGGGGCCCCCTCCAACCAACGTGCAGCACTCCATGTCTCGCATGGGGGGCCCCCCCCAGAGCACCATATTCTCCGGGCAAGTATGTGGTCCACCCATTTCTGGATGGTATCAGCTCTGGCCAGATTTCCGTGTGTAGCGTGGATTGCGATGTCCACGCTCAGCACAATAAACTCAAAATTAGCAGTGACAACTGTATCTTCGATGTGAAATTGTACGTCACCCTCCCTACGCATACCCGAAAAAACATTCAGTATGAAAATCGATTTACGTCTGATCCTGATCGGGAGGGAATGGGCTGCAAAGTCCAAGTAGTCCTGCACACGAAAGATGTCCCAACGGTCCAGGTAGGGGTACTCCTGCTGGGGGGCCTGTAGTGGGGCCTCTGGAGTGGGATTCAAGATGAACTGCCTGTACGAGTCGTCTAGCTCGTACATGGAATCCAGGAGAACCTCACGAGCCTGTTGTTCAGTGAAAGACACGAAAACCCAGTTGGAGTCCCAAATAAGGCCCTCCTGAGGAACATGCGGGGCAGCCGGGAAGTCTGCACGCCATCTGCCGAGTCCTGCCCGCCTTTTGCGGACCACTTCTGCTGCATCCTCGGCTGCCCACGCTCGTGCCAGTGTGAGCGGCGCTTGTGCGCCATGCAAGAAATAAGCTAGGCAGCACCTGGCAGAGCCGAAAGCCAAGTGATCTCGTACCTGGCGCCTCTGGGAGAACTCTGTGGCACACGCCCTGCATGTGCTGGAAGGACCCATGATGGCTTCAACATGATGTATGAACGCAAAGTGTTGACGAACGATATGCTGCTGGAGGCTCCGACGCTTGGGGAACCTCTGAGAGCACCAAGGGCACTTGTTGTACCTGTCAACATGACTCCTCCCCTCCTCCTCCTGCTTATGTAGTGGGTGGTCGGGGTGGGTGATAGGAAGTGGTACGCCACATGGTCGGACCAACTGAAAAAACTGTCTCTCTGCCTCCGCTGCTGTGGCGATTCTGCCAGCTGTGCGCACATGCGCGTCGAGTGCAGAACGTAGTCGGCGTCTCCAAGCCGGTAGGGACCTACTAACCAATTTTTCCCATTGTTGTAGTGACAGAGTTGGGTCGCGCATGTCTCGTAATTCCCTGCAGAGGTGCTGGAGCCATTTGAGATCTTCACAAACCTGTCGGAGCCAAGCATGGGGGTCCTCTTGAAAGGCCAACGCAACCAAAGCCTTGAGAGTGTCCGAGCCGAAGTGTACCAGACGCCCAAACACCCTAAGACGGTGGACCCGTAACTGGGTCGATACCTCAGCCCGTTGGACCACGACCAGTACCTGTGTGTCGGGACATGTTGTGTCGTCATACCGCGGAAGGTTGGCGGCAGCCCTGTATTTGGACATGATGCTTGCAGCAAGCGTGCGCATCTGGGCCTCTGTCACGCCGCTCCATGTCCCCGCGTTGAACAATTGCGAGGATGTGACCAGAGAGTCCAGAAAATGGAGCTTGAGCTTGTGATCTTCCTTTGATTTTCCCATGGCATAGTACACCCGTCGTCGTAATGGGTGCCAAGCTGCTGCACTGACACGGTGCCTGTGAGCAATCTCTGGGCCCAATGAGGCCTTCTCATCCAGGATAGTTCCAAGATGCGGGTATTGTCGTGTGACGTTAAGCTGTAGTGGCCCACGAGTGGTAGTAACGAACTTGAGGGTCCCCTTGAGGTCCTTCCAAAGCCTAGTACGAGCGCCGTCGGAGCCTTTGCCGCGAAATTGAACAAGGCATTCTGACTTGCCTTTCTTCATGTTGATGCTCATGCCCTGCAAAGTGAACGCGTCTATCACTAAGCTGCTGATCACTGGGGCCTGTGCGAGCACATGCTCAGCGTCGCCCAGTATGATGAAAGTTCCGTCGTCGAAAAAGTTGATGTCCAAGGCTGTGGAGGTGGCATTCGCATCTCCCTCCACTAGCTTTGACAGTGATGACCCCACCTTCGTAGGGACTCGGAGATCCACTCCATTAGCCACAATATCCTTGACTGCATGATTGACGCATTCCGCCATGACATAGTTGTAGATAACATCCCCCAACTGTTGTCCTGGGATCGAACCCAGCATCGGAAACGCAATTTTTGTGGCCCCCGCGTAGTAGAACCATGCCCCATGGTACGATGTAGCAGTAAGTGCCCGTATATGCTGCGATATGCCCGATCTTTCCAGTGCGTTGTCTTGTGTGTGAATTTTTTCCAAGATATTGTGCATTGCACTCGGTGGTAGTTTGGCTGCTAGTAGTATGCTTGCCAACTCGTCGTATGTGAGACTGGAGTCCATGACCAGTTGTCTCACCGCCTTATAAAAAGCTTGCACTGCGTCTACCATGAGGAAGACTGCTGATTGTTTCTTTCCTGCTGCAATGTTCTGGAAGCTGCGTAGCGCAAGGGCGGCGAGATCCACCCCTCTTCCCGATATACCCCCATATTGAGTATCTCCTGCGGCATGTGGCAAAGCCAATACAATAGGTGTGCGTAATAGCATGCGATAACGTTTTCCCAAGTGGGGGGATACCATCACAGATCTCGAATGCGCTGGAATAGAAGGGTCAGCCGCACCCTTCCAAATATCCCAGTAGCATCCTCCCCTCCACTGTATGGGTTCTTCGAGACGTAGACATGCCTTAACCACCACTGGGTGGTACAGAGCTCCTAAAGCTGCTCCACAGTGCCTGACCAAGCCGCCAGGCATGTCATCCAGGCTGGCAGCAGAAGGGCGCGCTGCACAACACGCCGTCTGGTACTCATGGAGAGCAGGGAGAAAGGCCTCCTTGGATGGTATGTTGCGAGTCAATGAGGAGGGAAGCGGCCTGAAACTGGAAAGCGTGTGCTGAGCGTGATCGATAGGCACCACTGCGCTGATCTCTTCATGAGCAAAATGTTCCAACCAAATGTTGGCTGCCTCTGTAGTTGTTTGAGCTGGCGCTCCTGTCACGTCTCGGACGATCGGTGCTGGACATGTGCTCCTCTTTTTTCTGGAGCAAGCGCCTAGGCCACGTAGTTTTCTGAAGACCTTGTCATGTTGGTGTACCGACCATTCCGACTTGATCTCCTGGGCGAGCTGTATGTAGTGTAGTTTGGCATCCCTGCGCGTGCAAATACGTATTTGATATGCAGTGTGCGCCACCAGAAGGTCTCTGATGGCATGAGACGCTCCTCTGAGTAACTGTATAGAATGCATGGCCACCGTTGGAAGATCCCTACGTGATACTGTAGCGGGCAGAACCTCGCGGTCCGTCGAAAATAGAACCAAGCACACCTGAGGGTAGTGATGGGAGGGCTTCCACTTAGAGGTCCTTTTTGTTTGGTCCATGTGGGGATGTACGTCACTCATCTCGTCCTCCCTGTTGGCCAGTAGGGCCATGTTGTCCGAGATGCATGTAAGTAGCTGTTGTTGTACCTGGCCCACAGCTCGGCAGAGCTTTGTAATGGACCGAAACACTCCACGAATGTGTAGTGGGGGGTCCCTCGGCGGGTATAGGATAGCGTCAGCTCTTTCGTACTTGATGTTGTCAATTGCCATTGCCCATGCAAATACGCATACAGCAAGCGTGGCAGACTGCGCAAGTCTCCCGTTGCGCCTAGCCTGTCGCAACGCATCTGTTCGAAAATCCATGGCCTGAAGCGTATGCTTCGATATCCATGTCTTGCGTGGCTGTCGTCCACGCTGTGTACGGCGTATGGGAAATGCCTCCTGCATCGCTTGTCGCACATAGTTGTCATAGTAGTAAACTTGATCGTTGGCGTGGACGTCGAAGG